CAAAGAGTATATAAAGGCTGGTCCTCAAACCAGTGCAAGTTATTTCTCAAGTTCCAAAGCTACAAACAGCACAAGCACTAGGACACATTGACTCCTAAACTTCATAACAACAGTGAAAGTTAGAGCCACCAAGGTAATTTAAGTGATATGATTTACAGAAATGTGACGATTAATTGCTCATTAGTGGAAGCTAAAGGCAATTGTGTACATGATTCTAACACGGCATATTGAGTAACTGAGTGTCTCATGCGAATAAAAGAGCATCCATGAAAAGATGTATTTTCCCTATTACTGCCATCATTCTCTTTCTTGTCATTTTTCTTTCGTTAGATAAATATATAAATATATAAATAAGTTAAAGATAAATAGAGAGGATAATTATTACTGTTGTTGCTGTTATTATCATTTTTGTTATTATTATTATTAGTAGTATCTTTACTACTGATGATACTAATAATAAAAATAATAATTATAATAATAATGTCATTATCATTATCGTTATTGTTATTATTATTATTATTATTATTATCATCATCATTATTGTTATAGTTGTTATTGTTGTTGTTGCCATTATCTTTCCTATCATCATTATCCTCATCACTATCACTTTCCTTCATATTACCTACACTTCTCTCTCCCTATTTCCAGATGCGTCTCCTCTTCATCCTGATCGTCGCGTGCAGCCTCCTGGGAACCGCTCTCTCGCTGCCTCAGTTTAGGGAACAGAGGAATGATGCTGCTCCTAATTTCTTTTTCCGACCGGTAATTACAAACGAGTTACTTGTTATTTTTACTGTGTTTACATGTTTATTACTTCTATTAGTACCACCACTACTACTACTATTATCATTATTATTATAATGATTATTATTATTATTATTATTAGTAGTAGTAGTATTTTTATATTCATATATTTGTTTCTGTTATTCGATCAGCTATGGAGTTTGTCTTTTCTATTAGTTGTTGTTATTTTTTTGTTTTTCCAAAGCGCATTTTTCTTGCTTGTAATTGTTTTATGAAGGTCTGTTTCACGATAAATAACTGATTTATTTTGATAATTTCTGGATGACATATGAAAATGCAACGGCAATACATACAACAATGAAGTGATAACAACAAACATTAAGAACACCGCTTATCATCATGACTTGAGATAAGAATGAACCGAAAAAAATAATGTACCTGAAAGAATGACTTGTATAAAGCTCTCTCCCACACCAACGAAAGCAGACCTCTCACTCCCTAACACTTCTCTCTCGTCTTCAGTTCTTCAGCAGAAACCAGCGCTACAGGCCACTCCGCCGCCAAACCTACGTCATGGATGATTTCTTGGGAGGCAGATAAGAAGGCCAAAGGATGAGTCTAGTCTGCTGAGGAGATGAGTCTGATCCGTCAAGATGATGAGTCTGATCTGCTGAGGAAATGGCGTTGATCGTCTGCCAAGGAGACTCAGATATACTCGCTTTTGTAAATGTGATATTTATATACACCATTGTTAGGGACATGCGATTTGTTTTCTCCTAATATATATTAGATATGCTTTACATTTTCTATTAAAGTGTTGAATAAACATATCCTCTTATTTTTCCCGAGTAACACAAAATGTTGTAAGATCATAGAATATTTCATATATGTGTGTGTGTGTGCTTGTATATTCCCACTGTACACATGTACAGCGTGAGTACATTTCACGTATAGATGTATTTGGGTATGTGCTTGTGTTTTATCACACGTATGTGTGTTCTGGATCGAAAATTCTTATTCTCTGTACTATATATTTTTATGGTACTTTAATATGACCTTGCCTCCTCCAAAACAGTAATGCAAAGAAATAAAGAAATGTTAAAAACTGAATAGCCATGTTGCAAAGATATACACTTGATATCCTTCTTAATTAAATGAAAATGTTGAGGGAACAAAAATTTGCTGTGCTATCAAAGGAGAGAATGATTGACTAAAACATCTACAGCTAAATCATTTGAATATTTCTTCTCTGCAACTTCATATTAGATCTGCCTCCGAAACCTAGAAAATGTTTAACTGATCGAAAAACAAAAATAGACAGATGAGTGATTTTTCCTGTCTCTTTGGTCTCCATTTTCCCCATCTTTCTAGTATTTTTTTTTTTTTTTCATTTTCCTTTCACTATAATCTTCCCTGATCTTACCTACAGTATTCTTGTTTTCCTTTCCACCTTCATTCTTTCTTGTTCTCTTTTTCTTTTTCATCCCCTCTCCCTTCCCCTTCTGCTCTTATTTTTTTCTTCTTCTATTGTTCCTTCTTTTTCTTTTTTCATTTCTCTTCCTCCTCCTCTCTCTTTGTCTTCGTCGCCGTCATCACCCTTTTCCTCTATCTCCTTGCATTCTTCTGTTCCTCCTCTTCCTTGTTCGTGTTTTTTTGCTCATCACTTTTCTTTCTTCTACGTCTTCCTCCCCCCTTCTTTATTATTCTTTCCTTTTTCTCCTTCTCCTTCTCGTTTTTTTCTCCTCGTCCTCCTTCTCCTTCTGTTCTATCTTCTCCTTCTCCTTCTTTTTCTCGTGTTTCCTTTACGTTTTCTCCTCTTTCTGCTCCTCCATCTTTCCCATATCCATTTTGTTTTTCTTCTCCTCTCTTAGTTCCTTCCTTCTTCTCCCAATCACTTTTCATTATCTCTTCCTCCTGCATCTTCTTCTTCTTCCGTCTTATCTGTCTCGTTTTTCTTCTTTCACGCCTTCTCCTCCTCCTCCTCCTCCCTCTCCTTCTTCTTTCCTATTCCTGTATCTTCTTCCTCTCTTCTTTTCCACTTTCCCTCTTCTTCTCTCTTCCATTTCTCATTACCTTTTCTTTCTCCTTCTCCTTTGTCATTTTCTTTGTCCTCATCATCATTACCCCCCCCTCCTCCTCCTCCTCGTCATCATCATCATCATCACCATCATCACCATCTCTTTTTCTTCTTGTTTTTCTATAGTATAACCATTCACAGATGTGGTTGTTGAATTTTATAATTCTTACAATCAATTCGACAGAAGACCAATCGCAAAAGCATTGAATATGCCAATAAACCAATGGCGATGAATAACACATTAGTATATTTTTTTCCTTAGCATTAGAGGGAAATAGAATCGATGTGATAGCAGGGGAAGGTAAGGGTGGTATAGAGCTAGGTATATTTAACAGATGATAAATTAAAGTATAATAAAAAAAATATTTATATAACAAAATAATGAACTGATAAAAAAATATGTACAAACGGCTGGTAAATTTAAAATGACATCAGGATAGATTCAACATCATAAATAGATGGATAATAGAAATTATTCAACATGGATGATTTATTCAACTTGACAGCATGACAAACCCAGCATGGCAGAGCCAACATGACAGATCTGATGGTAGCATAGATCAGCCTCACAGACTGAACAGCAAGATCAATCCAATATAGTAGTTCCAGTATGGCAGGAAGGTGGAGTCAATATATTATATGTATCAACACCGACAACATAGTAGATCCAACTTCACAGATACAAGATTCAACATGTAAACAGGCCCAAAATGACTGTTAAACTCAACCTGGCAAATGAATCTAGCATCGCAGGTCCAGTATGGGGAACAGTATAATAACGGGCTACATCCAATTGCTAAATAGATTCAGCATACATCCTTCGAAACAAGCATTGGAAACTGTTTTGATAAAAATGAACAGTGAAACAGATCACTCAACCATTATCAAATCAATCGAAATGATATTAAGAATAGTAGTAATAAAATACTTAATTTTATACCATACAAGTGGTTTTGATAAAGCAAATTGAGAAACTGTGAGAGAGAAAATAACAGCAATAATGATATCTTATACCCATCTTTATTATATTTTTGCATATTATAATTATCGCCTTTCCCTATTACCATACATCACATCATCGTTATATTCACCATCATGATTGCTATGATCATCACGAATCTACCCTTTGAGCGAACACGGCTAATAAGAATTCAATAGGCAACTGCATACTGGCGGTATTGCCTCATTCGCATTTAAATTACTTATACGGATGCTTCCCCGTTTTTTGTCTTCTCTTTCTTTCGTTCTCTCTCCCTTCCTCCCTTTTCGTGGCATTCGGGGTTGAAGATTATGATGAATATTGCTCCCTGAAAATATTTCCTCATCCTAATCTTTGGTTAAGCTTTATCTCATTTTTTTCTGTGATGACAAACATTGTACAATTGCGCAGTTACTTTACTTTTACTATATCATTTTACTCATCTTCATTCCTTTCTATCTTCTCTTTTTTCATTCAAATTCAACAGAGACATCGATCGCTTCCTGCAATGCCCTTCTTGCACAGGACGCCCTAAACGCTGTCTCGCTCGTTATTGGCTGAGCGCCCGAGAGGTCGTCCAATTGCAGTGGATAAAATTTAGGTTAGCAACAATAGCAGTCGCAGGAGTATATAAAGTCTTGCGCCCAGAGCTTAGCATACACATTTAGTTACAGACGAATGCTGATCATTCAAGACTCGTTTAACAAGTTCAGCATCTTTTGAGTGACTTGAAGGTGTGTGTGTGTGTTCATGTGGATTTGTGAAGAACTGACATAAAGATTTGTCAATATCTAGATACTGCAAATAGTTCGACAAATATCTATATCTCCATAGTGTTTTTATGTTAAATCGAAAGCACAGCATACTTTTCATCAACATCTTACACATCATTTAGCTAATGATTTGCACCTTTCCATCAAACAACATCCAATGTTGATTGTTCTTTTATCCTCTTATTTATACCTTGATATGTAAAATGAAGTTATCACTGCTTTCTTTGTGCTAATGTTTGTATTTTCCTTATAGATGAATAGCGCCCTAATCCTTCTGGTGGCCGTCGGTCTTTCCTGTTTGATGGCAGCCCAAGCAGCATCCCCATTCGGTGTTCTGGCTGGCCTAGGAGCCTTGACGAGCGCTGCAAAGCGGAGGTATCGCGGGGCTGGCCATGGACACGGCCATGGCCATGGGTATAGAATCCCGAAAAGAAATCCTCGTCCCCGCTTCAGGCGCTCCATTGCAGCAGCTGCTGAGGAAGATGACGACCTGATTTTTTCCGCAGTTGGACAACTGGATCCCAATGCTTGCATCCCCAAAATGCTTTGCGTCCTGCAGGCGAAGGATGAATCCGATCGCACGCCGAGAGAGAACATGCTTGTGGAAATCTTAACCAGTAGCACTACGACCCTATCCTCCTACAACGCTGCTTTCGCCCACGTCCAAGATGTCGCCGCTAACACTGGAGACTCCTTCGCCTGCAAGAAGTTCTTCTACACGTGTCCGTTCGACGATGAGGAATTGAGTGAACTCCTGGATCTTGCGTGGAGTTGTAACTGCAACTCGGGCGGGACAGATTAAATTGTTCTTCAGCGGGTCGTGTTGCAAATAAAATTTTATTTGTGATATGCCTTGCTGGACCTTGTACATAACCTTTGTAATATATGCATATAACAATATTATGTAATATATGTATATAATATTTATGTACTATATGTGTACTACTTAACATCAATTTATATATATTAAGGTTATAGTGTAAGACATATTTCTATAATATATTGCCTCTAGATAATATACTTTTTATTAACATTTGGATACTGTGAATACATACCCGGGAAATTTGCTCATGCAAACTATTCAACAATGCTTGGTAATATGAAGATATACATATTAGTAATACATCACGGACTCTCAAACCTAACCTAACAGCTGGCATAAGTAAAATAAGCTACAAGAATAAAGCCTCTCCCTGAATATTCTGTCCGACGAAGAGGAGGTGGTCGAACTCCGGAAGGGACTCAAAACTGCTTTGCCCTTTTCGCTGATTTAGTTGGTCTTGCTCTCTATCCGAGGAAAGAGTCAGAGAAAGTAGAGGTTTTATTAATATGGAGGGGATAAGGGCCCATAAAGGTGACATTTCCAGCTGCTGTAGACACAGAATTTTTAAAACTGTATAATCCTGTAGCACATATCTATTGTGTTTATTATGTGAATTAACGGGGAAAAGTTGTTATGCTCTTGATATCGAATGTATGTTTAAGCTCAAATTAAATTGTTGAAAGGTTCTCCTTGCTTGTTATTTTCCATAATATCACGGTGACATTTTAACACTTGCATCAATCTCAGAGTATAAACTACCAAACATTTCTTAGTGCATATCTTCGAATTAGCATGCCTTACAAATTCTCTATCTCTCTCTCTCTCTCTCTCTCCCTCTCTCTTAAATAGCTTTCCATAAACAGCTTTCTCGGATGGAAAATGTATTACAAAGGGGAGAAGCCTAAGAAATCTGTTTCCCTAGTAATCAGAGTGGAAAAGACAACCATATCCTGTAAATTCAAAATTTTCCTCTCTCTGCCTTTTTTGCTCTAAATCATCAACCATTTCCAATCCCCGATTTTTCATGTGCCAGACGTGTATGATAGAAGCCTTCGAAGAATTACATTTGAGTTTGTTAACGCTGAATTGATTGTCATGCGGGTGCGATCCAAAGGAAATAAGTGTACAAAGTATATTGGTTACATCATTTTCAGTGGACATACCAAGCCGAACG